AGACATCAGCTGTGCTAAATGGACTACCTATTCATTGTGCCATGGTATATCCTTTCGCATCTAATTTACGCAAGTGTGGCATAACCGCACTCTGTAATACGAAAACGTATGTCAAACTCGTTCGTTAAACGCACATATCTGCGTTAACAAAATAGCAAACACAAATGAAGCGAAACATGTAAGTAAGCGCAATTAAAGTTCAATACTTTAGTAGATTTTATGGTGCAACACAGCGATTTGCCAAAGGGACAGTTGCAGAGTTCAAATGTGAAACAACGCGGCAACTATTTGTGGACTGATAACCTCTATTCAAAGATGTCACTGGTAGGAAAAAGTGATGTATTATATTTTCTATATAAAATGTGAAACTATGTGTGCATATTTGTATTGCCTTATTTCGATTTATTATTCGTTTGCGTCAGTGATACAGAGTACCAAATTGTACTCTTGACGCATTTAGTTTTCGCAACGCAATACACAGAAACCCGCCAGTAGGGTTGGGGTTCGGGAATTTCCGTCCCGGGTATTCCCGGGAATTCTCGATTTTTTGACATCGATACTCTCGGGATTTCCCGATAATATTTCAGGGGAAAAGGTAAATTGAATTTCTAAATAAATATTAACACCGAGTAGAACCCATCCTATATAATTACATTTTGTAAGATACCCTCTGTTTATTTATACCATAATTAATAATACTCCCTGTATCATTTATTTGAGTAGACCCAATCCTGTTTAATTATATTTATGTTTATGTTTTTCTATCTTTTAATTAATATTGTAAAATGAATTTTATTATTACAGATACTTGAGTTGATCCCATCCTTCTTGTGATAACAGTTGTATAAATTATTGTTAATTAATTTTATTGTAATGATAAGTGCCTCAATTTTTGTATTTTTTTAATACTGTTTTAATAACCACGATAACATTATAGAGTAACTTTTTTATTATTTTTTATATATTAAGCTATTTCCGCTCGATCTTCGAGTAGAATCTTAGTTGCAGTCAAAATTTTTGTTTGGGTTTCTGTGAATAATTACTACTTTTACTAGTATTGCTTGTCAAGTTAGTGAAATGTACATGTATTATTCTTGGCCCGCAATTGTTATCGTGATTGTTAAGATTTTCTTGTTTTATTTTATAGTCGAGGATTTTCGCGTTATTGTTTATTATAAGTGTAATTATGAGATTTGTAGACTGGTAATTTCTTAAATGTGGTCTGCGGACTTTGAAATTATTGTGAATAAATAAATTAAAAAAAAAAAAAAAAAAAAGAATTAAAAATTTCAATGCTTAAGGCATAAACAGAATGGATCCATTACGTTGTAGCAACTTTTTCAGATAGGGCGAACACATGAGAAAATTTATTCTGAATGTCCTATTGAAGTGACCGACGTGACTCAAAATTTATATCTAAACTAACGGATGTGCCAAAAAAGACGCAAAGGTGTATTCAGAAGATATTTAGGTTTTCAATGAAGTGGGATCTGTATGTAAAATGAGTAAAAGTGCATAAAATGTGGGAGAATATTTTCAATTGCTGGACATTTTGACATCAACAAAAGAAACAATATATCAAGAAACCTGTTGAATGCACAAATTAACAATTCTTTGTTAATGTTTGTTAATGTGTACAAATAGTTCTTAATACAATGTTTTGCGAAAAACATAATAAAATTTGAAAATTAATTCTTAATTATTTCTTTTTATGTGTTATTGTACAATGAAACGTAAATTTTTTATAATTCTAATTATTTAATTAATCGGGCATGTTCTGGCATTCACTTCACCAGCAGAAGTGTATCGAGGTGTGCTGTAACACACTTTACACCCATTTGAGGTGTATACTTTACACTTACATTTTCATAGTGAGAGTCGGGTGTATTCATGGTACAATAATACAAGGTAGGGCAGCTTGAGGTGAATAACAAAAAAGCAACTATGCACGTGTGGCTTCTTCTGCCAAAAATAAAATAAATATACGCAACAAGTGTTTGTGTTCATTTGACATTTTTTCAACACAATAATAAAAACGCGGAAACTGAGTGAAATGTTATGATTTCTTCCTTAAATCCAGTAGGAAATACCATCAAATGTTTGTTTCATCCATATCAAAGTAAATACTTCCAGACGAACATGTTAAAAACATAATTTTCATTTCAATTAAATTTGAATATATTTCAATTTATTTTGAATTTATTTGACATAGTATTCAAAACAATACACACACATACACAAAATATGTATTAAATTTGATGGAACCCAGCAAGCATTTTTATCCAAAAAGTTACTACCAGACTCACTCGTGTTTTCAAAAAGTTACTGAAAACACTCGTAGGCGATATCGTATTTTAACAAATATGTTATTCCGTTTGGGAAGAAATGAACCACGTACTCGTCACCTTTTAAAAGTATCTTCTTCGTGACAATTTGAAGTTAATAATGCGTTAATAATCGACACTCCAAAATGACACTGTTTTGTTACCTTAAATACTATCGCATTAGTTACTTTCAACTTTCACTAAGAAGATGTGACGAATGCGTGCTTCATTTCTTCAATATCAATTTTGATACCCAAAGGAAATAAAATACTTGTATAATTCAAGTATTGCGATTGCAATAACAATAATGAGTAACGTATATTATGCATAAACATTTGAAAATTTAACGCTAAACAAACATAAAATTGAAGTTAAGGTTAAGGCTAAAAACATTATTCAATTAAATTATAATAATGGTTAATTTTTCAACAATTTTATTGAGCCTTCGGTGTTTTTGTGTATTCTATCCCGAGCGTGTAAAATATGTTGTTGATAAACTTTGTTAGGTACAACAACGACGTCTGGAAAAATTTAAGATGGCACATATCTGTAAAATTTCAAATTAACACATAAGTAAGCTGACTTGCCTCTTATTATATTATATGTAGTATATCGCTGAAAACTGGGTTTTTGTATAGTTCCACGCCATGTTATTTCAATTGATATTTGATCACTTATAACATCATTAATTGATAATTTAACAAATGATATTTTCTGTAATAAATTTGTATTTAGAATGGTGGCAGAAATTATGATAAAAGTTATATATTATTACCAATTGATCTCGAACTTCACAAACATAACATGACAGCTGTGGCAACAATTGCAATTCTTTTTCTAAGGAAGTGGGCATTATGGAATGTCGTATTTCATTCTTTAGAGTAATTACTTGCTCCGTAAGTGTTTTAATTAACATCTGTGTGGCCATTTGATTTTTGTTAGTTTCCTTTAAAAATATTTCAATGGTTTCTTTTAGAATTTTTATTTCAATTTGATGTTCATAAACACTCCGACATTTAACATCTTTAAGATTTATGTAATTTATTTAAAATCACAAAATTAAGGTAAAGCGTCATAAAAACCCAATTTTAAATAGATACTTAGGTTTGTGTTGCATTTATTCCGAATAAATCTCTCGCTTGACACAAACAGCCGATTTGCAATAAGATCGTACAGGATAGGGTTACCAAATGATCAACTTAAATCAATCAACAAATTAATTATATTAAAGAATGTTTCATACATATATTTTTTGTTGCGAATAATAAAATATTAAAAACAGAATAATAAAATTATCGTTAGAATTTACGAAATTACTAAAAAATAACAGAAACAATGTTAAAAACGAATACAGTTTTATTGTATGGCAACACTATTTCTGCAATTAAATTTGAATGTATTTGGATTTATTTGACATATTAGTTTGACAATACACACACATACACAAAATATGTATTTTGATGTCCCCCACATTCAATTTACTGAATCTGTCTCTGGCAACACTATTTCCCGTATAATATGGCAACACGACATTTTCGCTACAAAGTACTATTTACTAATGTTAATGAAAAAATACTAAAGACTCGGCAAAATGCATTTTGACAAAATAGTTTTTTAAACATATTTAGGGGGTTTAAGCATAACATAACAATCCTTTTATGCGGTCAGAAGGTTGCCATGCAAAGTATTCTGCTGATGCTTAATCCGTATATTTTTGTCACTTTTTGAATTTAAATAATTCGCTTTCCTTTTGTTAAACATGTTAAATAATTATTTAAATTACAATATATTACCGAAAATTTTACCGCCTTTGATTATCTATCTTTATTTAGAATAAGGCGAACAAGGGAAATGGTTTTCACTAGTGAAATCACTCCCTAGCGAATATTGATAATAAGGCTGAATATAAATATGAACAGAATGGGGTACACATGTAGTCGAACATGCTTAGATCGACTCAAAAAATTATTATTCATAGAAAATTTGCCAATGCACCTTTTGTTAGCATTGGTTATAAACGGACATATTTTTATAAATATTCCATTATTTTTTAATTAAACAAAACCTACTTAAATAAGGTTGTATAAATAGCAATTCCGTAGAAGATTGTATAGACGCGTTAAATGTATGAAAGACCGATAGTATACATTTCATCCATAAAATACAAATTAAATATAACACAATTCTTTACTGTGTCTATGATTTTTATTAAAATACATTTACTAGAATTACAAATAAAAATATAATTGAAAATTTTGTTTCTGTTTGGTATGGTGGAAAACGAGTATAACGAGCGAGAAAATTACTGTTCGTCTGTTAAATACTTTTATTCAGTGAATTTCAATTTTAAATTATTGTAATTTTGCTTCGCATAAAATTAAATGTTTAACTCTCCACAACATAATTTTATTATCTATGTAAGCCATTTTTGGGAATGACATCCGATGTGTAGCAGTCGCAGATAAATACGTATATGCCGGGAATATATCCCTTTGGTAAATTTAAGATTTCATATATTTAACAATAATGCGGAAAATTTTTACATGCCTGCTTTTGCTCGATTAATGTAACGTGGATTATATTAGTGTGTATTGGTTGAGAATTCTAAATAACCTGTGGGTGGCGATGGTTGCAATATGTACTATATTTTATGTTATTTTATTAATTATTACGAACTTCTTAGAAAGTAATAGGTTCATGGGGAACTGTACATTCACCCACAGTCACACGATACATGGCCATTTCAGAAATTCCGTGGTAATGTACAAAAGCAGCGGCGATAACCAAAATGTGGAAGAGTTGATGGGATTGGAACTGTAGGATTAAAAACGGCATTAGAATTTGATGATAATCAAAAAAATAAGTTGTATTTACATACCCACAAATCAAACTTTCCAGGAAACCATCGTTCCGGTACTCGCAGGGCATAAAGCAGTGCCCCCAATATGTAAAGAAATCCTATTAAATTCTCAATTAATTTATGTACTTAGAAAAATTAAAATTTATTTGTCCTACCCATTAAAACAAGCCATCCCAAACTGGACTGACTAATTTGACTGAACCATCCTTCCATCACGCCGTAATGAATTGCTGGAATTACCCCGGACAAGCCGAAGCACATAAATACGCCAGCACGTAGAGGTCGGAATGCTGGCTCAGAGAACTTATCCCACAGCGATACAATAATTGATAAACATCCCAGCACACATACTACCGACAGATAAATCACTTTTGGTTGATAGTGACAATAGAATCCGTAATAAAGCCAGGGTACAAATGAACCCATAATAAGTAGAGCTATACCGCAATAATCTAATCTGCAAAGACAAAAATTTAATTTTATTTGTAAATAAGTTTTTAACATATGGAAATAATTTAAGCACGATCCCTCTGTATATAAAAAGTACAACAAATAGTCGTAGCTGTAGCACTACTGATGACAGCAAAGATGCTGGAGTAGGCTTCTGAAATAAGTTTAAAAAATCGATCCGTGGAAAAATAAAAGGTTGAAATTAAAAGGATTAAAAATGCTTGCTGGGGAAATAGTTTAAATTTTGAAAATTAAACCCCTTCAATTCAATGAATAATTTTAATTGTCAAAACCCATAGTAACAAAACATAAACAAATGTCTACGTGATACTTTCCCAGTGTTACCCCGAGCGTCTACTCGCACATATATGTCTTAAGTGCAGTGACATAGATAGGAACTATCAAAACACATATTCGCAATAGCCTCTTATCAATCAAACATTTTTTATTTATGTTGTTGTTACACGCCCATATTTTAATTCAACTAACAGGGAAATTGCCATTGTAGGTTCCATTTACTACATCCCCCATTCGTAGAAAATGTAACAGTATACGTAACGTCTAATGAATCCATTTTAGACAAAACATACCAATAAAATGTGATAATAAAAACTTACTTGGAGAACAGTCTTCCGATTTCCACAGAATGACAACTGAGCGTGTGAAAAGCAAACGAGAAACCCAAACAAATGATGGCACCTACGAAAAATGCCCCAAAGATTAGTTTTTCCTGAAATTGTATTTCGACAGATGGGCGTGACAGGAAGTAACATGCCACGCCAATGAAAGCAACACAGCCTAAAAGATGAGTCCAAATGTTTCCGGTCTCAGTATGCAAGCGAAAGATCGATTTGAAGCAAGCACTAAACGAAGGCAGTGGAGGGCGATGTCCACGGTGCAAAAAGTCATTATCTTGCAACCACTTTGGAAGATTCTTATAGTGACAAACCTTCCAACTGGCCTCCCACACCTACAAGAAAATTGAAACAAACGTGCACATTAAAAATAGAAATAAATATACAAATTTAACACATTACCTTGCGTACGAATTCTTCAGCTTGTTCCGCGGCATTATGGGCCAATGCTCCTAAATCTATTTCATCTGAGAGAACTCCAGCCTTGAGAACCTCCGTCATCTACAATAACAACAACACCAAATGACACAAGTACACATATATAAAAAAAAAATAAATAAATCTAAACAAAAACTGGGCACAATACGAACATCGATCTGTACATTCTCTTTTAAAGTTTCATATTTATTCGATGGCCCAGGATTGTCTACAGCTATTTCATGGGTATTCATTATTGTGTGCCGTATTTCGTTTTGTTTGTTTTCTATAAATTTGTATATAATCTTAAGTTATTGCTTATCACTGACCAAGTAGACATTTGATTAGAACAACAGCCGATAATAGTGTACGTAAAATATATTAAATATAAAGTCGCTTTAAATTATAAGGCCAATCAGGGCGATAAAGGAAAATAGCAAATTAACAATATACGTACATAAAACCGTCTCGATGCATAACACAATTGATTTATTTTAAAAGTATGGTTGTTACAACAATTGTATTAAACAATAACATTTTGTTTATTGTCGCAACTGTTTTTCGGACATACTTGAGTTTGTACGGCTAGTTTCCGAGGGTATCTATTTGTTATGGGATAACTTTTTATGGACTAATTGTAAACAATTGTAAACAAAAACAGGATAATAAAATAAATACTCACTTCAGCTTCTATGAGTTGAGTGTCTTCAGGAGTGGATGGCAATGGACACCCCGCGTCGTCTTCTTCGGCCAACACATCATCGTCTTCACCAAGCAAATCCAGGTCGTGTGTGCTTAAAGAATCATCATGACCCCATCCTCGCCTTTTACGAAGGATCATTTTAACATCGGCCGAAATAAATTCATCGTCATCATCACTGCGTACTCCCATCTCGCCTTCAACAATATCACATTCGCTGAATTTATTTTCAGCACGTGAGTGAAGGGGCGAATCAAGATCACTAAGAGGATCGTTCGTGCGAACTTCTGAATAATCGGCCATCGAGGTATTACGTTGTAATAAGATTTTCGAAGGATCAATTTCCATTGGCGAAACTGGCTGTAACCGCTTTTCGTCTTTATTGCGGTGTGTAAAATGTGCCTCTTGGGGGCTGCAAGAAAAAAAAAAAATGTTTTTTGATATTTCTATCTCCATCTCCAATACCAATACAACACTTCATAAGGTACGACGAATGTAAGTTTCTTTATTTTCCATGTAAAACGACAGTAATAAATGATACGTAGACTTTTGTGTTTACAGGGAATTTTATATAGGGTAACTATATAAAATTTCGATCCAGACGTCTTTATGAATGTGCGTGTGACAGTTAGAACATAATAAACAACAATACATAAAAAAATCGCTTTATAACGAATAGGCCTCACAATCACCCTTACTACGGTAGGCGTTTTTGTAGTACGCCAGCTTTCGTAGACGTAGTCTTAGTCATTGTCATTTTTGGTCGTAAAATTTACGACTTCGCCAAATTTTGTAACATATTTGTTCCTTACTGATATTTTCCATAAAAGCTATTTTGTTCTATTTAAACAATTGGTTTCATGTTACAGATTTAATTACAAATTAATATTTTCTCATATACTGCAAAAATCTACTGGTTTTCTTCAACGAAATCTTTCGAAGTCAAAGGTGTCCTTTAAGTTTTCCTCATGAGTGCACCGATAATGCTACAATAAATTTCTAAAAGAGAAAACTTTATTACACGTTATATACTCTATAGAATAAAGGCGCATATAGATTTACGAAATCCACTCGATCTTAAATGCCAATTCCAAAGCGTATATGTCAAATATAATCTACTGGATTTGTGAACATGATTAAGGTGACTTATACGTCATGCAATTGACATTTGAGATCGAGTGGATTTAGTAGCTTAAACGTGCTCTAAGCTGTATGAGCTATTTAAAGTTTAATTTAAATTATATGCCGCTGTGGTAAACGTGACTGAAAAATGCACAAAAATGCACTCAATTAAAATTGCATTACTTTTGTTTTAGATGTATACATCCCCTATGCAGTATTATATTTATAGAAATTGTTTTAGATTTTTTCTTTTTAAATTTGAAAGGTCTTACCAATTTATAAATGCGGGAACTGGCCCATTGCGAACAGCTTGAACTGGCAATTTATATACATACTCATGGTATAGAATATAAGGTAACAGCAAATTTTGTACAACACACTTGGAAATTTGTTATAAGTAATACTAGTGTCAACGTCATTTAATCGAAAAATGTAAACAAAACATATAAAAAAATATATATATATAGTGGTGGTAACGTAATTAAAACATTTACTATGGCAAAGATTTTTTGATCAGCCCTCGATTCGATGGGCCAACATTTCGTTTGGTCCAATTTTTTATTTTTTATATTCAAATATTTAATTATATTAAGAAGTATTTATTTTTTCTACTAATTCTATCAATTTGTGGTTTATTTGGAAATTTATTTTCTATATTAAGGGTGATTTTTCGAATGTTATGTGTACAAATTGTTGCCAATTTGTATAATTTTTACAGTTAATTTAACAAATTTAATGAGCTTTTTTAATATTTTCAAGAAAATATACAATGTTTCAATTATGTGGCCACTTCAAAGTCAATAAAACCGTTATTTATGGAAAAATTGCATGCTATAATTTTCTATTTTAACACTAAATTTCTTAAGTGCAGTATATATAAGTGTACTGAATTATTTTTTTTAATACTTCAAGCGAATCGAGTTCTGATCAAAAAATGTTTGACATAGTAAGGCCTATATATTAGGTCATCCAGTAAGCTGCTATCTAAATTGTTTTGTCAAAGTATTTGATTTTGAATAAAAAAAACTGGCTACCAAAGTTATGTACAAATATTAAAATAAATTAAAATAAACCATGGTCTATTAATTAAATAAGGTATACTGAATAAACTAAGGTTTATTCATAAGGTTAACAGAGAGGCGAATCCATGACGTAGTCTTCTCTTGCTGTCAACATTTTAATCACGAAAAACTAAAAATATCATTCAAAAAACTTAGTATGCACGTATATTTTGTTTCGAATAACAATATTTTTTGCTTATTTGTTCTTCAAGCAATACATTTGAAAGTCAATTACATCTTTGAATTGTTAACCTTTTGGATAAACCTTGAAATAAACGAATTATGGTAAAGACATTTTCGCCACAATATAAAGTTGGACAATAAATGTGCTGTATTTTTTTAGGAACTCGCATTCTGGATATCCTGATATTTGCGCCATGGACAGTTTCGAATTTTATGCGCATCAAATGTTTCTGTTTGGCAATTTTTAAAAACATAATTCGTCATGTTTATATTGACAGTAGTATTACGTTGAAATTAAATCTGCTGGGTTTTGCAGTTACCATATAATTGTACCATGAAACATATTATGTCCGTTCCAGAACTGCAATTTACCAATATTTACTATGTTTCGATATCATAAAGAACAATTTTGCATTGTAATATACATTTTTAGACATAGTTTTGAACCCAGCAAAAATTTACACTTCTACATGTTTGCTGTTTAAGTAACAGACATAGTAGGTCTATTCCGGAACAACACATTCCTTTTTTACGAACCAAAATTTCAACGTAGATTTATCTTAATACTTGTAAAACTGGCCCAAAGTAGAATATTAAGCATTTTCATTGTAATATACATTTTTAGAAAAATGTTTTGTACCCAGCAAAAATGTACACTTCTACAGGTTTGCTGTTTCTGGAACAGTCATAGTAGGTATATCCCGGAACAACACCTTCCTTTTTTACGAACCAAAATTTTAACTTAGATTTGTTTGTCTTAACACTTGTAAAAATGGCCCAAAGTAGAATATTAGATTTACTTTCCGCCAAGTGTGTGCCACCTTCTCTAGCATACCGTTTGTCAGTCACATTAAGCATTTTGTCTACCTAAAAAGGAGTATTATGCTGCGTCACATTTAATATTTTTTACTATCTGGTGTATTTTAAGTTTGATCTTTGGAACATTTCGTCAAATGAATACACCGACAATACACCAATAACTCATACATACATAAACCTACATATACAAATATTTCAATACAACCAAAAGGCTAAATGTACGCTTGTATACATATCAACGTATTGTAATTTGTAAAATGTGATTATATAAAATAAACGAAAACCTCCCAGGAATTTTACACTAAATGGGAGATGTACTTTTTTGATGAAAATTGGCAAAACTAGCATTGGAATATACATGGGTGTATGAACATTAATGTAATATTGTGCTTAATATGTATCAAGATTTCAATATTACGTTTCTCCATTGCCCCCAATTATCTGTGGCTGTTCAACAATTCCACCACAATTGCCGTCACACTCTTGTCCGAGATTCAGGGAAACCTTGGACATTGTTGTTTTTGTCTGATGCTACTAACCACTTCTAAATGATATATTTTGTCACTACGTTTTCCAATTTCCACAACAACTTCTATTGAATGTGTACGTATAAAAAATTACTTTCAAGTGCGTAGTCTGTGAGGAAAAACACTGAATCAGATAGGGATGTGTAAGTCGACTTTTGACTAATCGATTAATCGACTTTTTGTATTGAAATGTCAAAAAGCCGAGTCAAAGATATAGAAAACGTAAAGGGTTAAGCAGAATGCTCGCGTTGAGCCATCCGTCGCGTTCTGTGTTGTCGAAAATACAAGAACCACAAGGAAACGATAATTGTGCGCTGCGCTTCGAAGTTAAATATATTTTAACTTTTTGCGTGCGTTAACACGATAACAAAAAACGCACAACGCGAACGCACATACTCGCTCTCAAGGGCTAAGCAGAATGCTCGCGTTGAGCCATCCGTTGCGTTTTGTGTTATCGAAAATACAACAACCACAAGGAAACGATAACACTAACGCATGAAGTTGATGTGCGCTGCGCTTTGAAGTTAAATATATTTTAACTTTTTGCGTGCGTTAACGCGATAACAAAACACGCTCAACGCGAACATTCTGTTTAGCCTTTCAGAGTACAAAATAATTTGAAAAGTTCGTGAACGCAATTATATGTAATAATAACATATTAATCTATCATCCTGTGCCTTTTTTTATTCCAAAAAAATATTATTTTATATATGAATACTATCGGGTCATGGCATAATTTGATTATGGCAACCCATTTTTATTTGGAACTCATCTATCAATTGTAAATAATATAATATAATATCGGGTCATGGCATAATTGGAGAATTTGATTATGGCAACCCATTTTTATTTGGAACTCATCTATCAATTTTAAATAATATGAAAAATAAATTCCATAAAATTTTATGTATGTCGATTGGCATATTTTCAATAAATTAAAGATGAACTGAAAGTGGTATAATCCAAATATTACGAATGAGGTGGGATGGAGACTAAATTAGAACCGTATACACTCACAGCAGCTGCAGTCATATTCGAGTAATCGGGTATTTTGGCCAGCCATGACAGCAGCACTTAAAACGAGTACACACTAACAGCATGACAGATTTAATAAGGTAGCCACATCAGCACATATATTGATACATGATGCAATAATAAGGTGATGTATCAAAACAAAAACATTTTTTTGTCTCGATTATCTGTCAAATTTTTCCTTATAATATTTCAAAAATTTGGCAGCATATAATATTTCAACAGGGCTGTAGAGAGCGTTGCCACTTCAGCTGTCAAATATTAAGGTTAGGGGAGACGTAACGTGTTGCCACCAAACCAAAACAATACAACCCTGTTCATTGTTGTAGGCAAGTACGAAGGTGACTAAAATAAAATAAACCAAGAAAAGTTCGCCAAAAATTAAATTTAGTGAAAATTTCAGCCATTTGCCGGATTATAAAAGCATTAACGGAGAAATATTTTGGGTATTTGGAAGTTATTGGGCTAAGAAGCCATATACAAATTTTGACCTGGCTACAAAAAAAAAAAACTAATTAATAAATCAAGCTACAAAACAGAAATAAATACCAAAACAAATAAATTTATTTTTTAAGTGGTTATTTATACTCTTTCGAGTCTTTATGCGACGCGTTTCGCCGTTGGTTAAG